GGCAACCAGGTAGCCCACGGAGGACGCACCATCAGAGCAGAGCCCCAAGGGGAGTGTGGTGACATCGTGGGGTCATGGAGGCAAAGGCTGCAGGCAGACCTGAAGAGGAGCCACTGGGGCCAGCATGGCTGGTGGGGTGTGACACTGGGGAGCACAGGGATGAGGCCATTGGGAGCCACAGAAGGACCAGGGTTTGGCAGGGATGCTCTCCACAGAATTGGGCCACATCTCATCCCCATTCACAGGTCAGTGTCCTCCCCTGCAGCTGGGCACAGCCACACCTCCCTCCATCCCCTCCTCCTCCCACCTGCTGCTCCCTCTCCCGGGACACTCTCTCCATCATTCCCCATCTCCGCTGAAATGTCACCTCCTCCAGGAAGCCTTCCTGATCCCCCTGTCTAAATGCTCCCCACCACAATCACTGAATCAGCCTCCTATTTCAGCACTGCTGGGAACCATCCTATTTAGGTGTTTACTTCACTTATTTAATACATTTTAAGAACATATTTTTTGATTGCAGTAACATACATACTATATATATAATATATATATATGATTTGCCATTTTATGACATTAAAACCTTTTTAGTATGGTAACATATATATAATATAAAATTTGCTATTTTAATTGGTTTTAGGTGTACAACTCAATAGCATTAATTACATTCACAATGTCGTACAACCACAACCAATACCTATTTCAAAAACTTTTCATCACCCCAAACTGAAACTCTGTGTGCATTAAACAACTCCCCATCCTCCCCTCCCCAGCCCTGGTGGCCTCCATTCCACCTTCTGTCTCTATGACTCTAACTGCTCCACTCACTTATATGAGCGGAATCATACAGTATTTGTCTTTTCGTGTCTGGCTAATTTTACCCAGTATAAGGTTTCCCAGGCTCATTTGTGTTGTAGCATGTATCAGAATTCCCTTCCCTTTTGAGGCTGAATAGCGCTCCTCTGCACGGATGGACCACATTTTCTGTATCTGTTCCTCCACCGATGGATACTCAGGCAGCTTCCACCACTTGGCTCTTGTGAATAATGCTGCTGTGAACATGCGTGTGCTAATAGCTGAATTCCTGCTTTCCGTTCTTTTAGGTACATATCTAGCAGTAGAATTGCTGGATCACATGTTAATAATGTTTACATTTTTGAGGAACTGCCTATTTTTCTCAGTGGCTGAATCATTTTACACTTTCACCAACATGTAAAAGGGTTTCATTTTCTCCACATCCTCGCCAACACCTGTTATTTTTGTTTTTATTTTTTGATAGTAGCCATCCTAATGGATGTGAGGTTAGGTCTCATTTTGGTTTTGATTCGCATTCCCTTAATGACTGATGATGTTGAGTATCTTTTCTCCTGCTTGTAGGTCATTTACATATCATCTTTTGAGAATTATCATTCAAGTCCTTTGCCCAGTTTTGAATTGGGTTGTTTGCTTTTTGTTGTTGTTGTTGAGTGTTAGGATTTCTTTCTATATTCTTGATATTAATCATTTGTCAAAGATTTCTAAATGTGAGCTAATCTCAGATAAAAGTCTAGCTCTCTCGAGGGTGGAGGGGGTGGGGAAGGACAGCCCTTGACCAACAGGGCCAGGAGGTTGCTTTAGCCTGTGGAGTTGGAACAATGGTCAGCCACTGAGTGGGCCCCTCAGAAGCAAGCCATGGTCAGCAATCAAGCACACAGCCTGATTTTTGGAGGACAAGATCTTTATTTCCCACCCTGGCACCAGCAAGCTGTACCAAGAATGCAGGCCACCTTCTCCCTGCTGCCTGCTGCCGGCTGGAGGCTGGTACAGCCGCTCCAGAAAATGCTAAAAATTCATTAAAATGTCCCAGCCTCCTCATCAAGATCTTCCCTGCAAGCTGCAAGCATTTCACTAAACTCCAGAGTTTCAGAATAGTTGCTTCTGATAATTCACACCAGCACGATTGTTTCAGGGGAGGGATTTCTGGAGCTTCCTACTCTGCCATGACGCCATGACGTCACCCCTGTTGTCAATGAGTTGCTTGCTCCATTTCCTTTATGGGCTGTTCATTGCTGGTGAACAGAGACAAACTGGTTTTTCTGTGTTGGTCTTGTAACCTGCAACTTTGCTGAGTTCATTCATTTACTCTAGTAACTTTCTTGTGGATTCTTTGAGATTTTCTATATATAGGATTGTGTCATCTGTGAATAGTTTTACTACCTCCTTTTCAATCTGGATGTTTTACTTCTTTTTTTCTTTTTCTTGCCTAATGACCCTGGCTAGATCTTCCAGTGCAATGTTGAACAGTAGTGGTGAACGTGGGCTTCACTGTTTTGCTACTGATCTTAGAGGGAGAGCTTGTAGGCTAACAGGTTTTGACTGAGGCCTGTGATGTGCCAGGCTCTGGGGGCACAAATGCCCCTGCTGGATGGGAGCGAGACAGTAAGCAACATAAGTGAGGAAGGGTCAAGAGGCCAGAGGGTAGAACGTGTCACTGAGAAAATGAAACAGGGAACAGCAATGAGGGACGTAGGGCAGGTGGGGCACTGCGTTTTACCTTGTTTAGGGGAGGCCCCCCTGTGGAGCTGACATCTAAGTGAGCTCCTGTGGGGCATGAGGGAGGCAGTCCCAGGAAAATCCGGAAGAGCATTCCCTGTGGAGGACACAGCAGCGCTAAGATACTGAGTGGGAGTGAAGCAGGCCTGGCCTGGCCAGGGCTGCAGGAATGGATGGAGCCAGTGAAGGTGAGAGCTGTTTGCTGCACTCTCCTAAATGCTCAGAGAGCAGGCGCCCCCGTCTCATGGTCCTCTGTGCCCCAGCCCAGCACAGTGCCTGACACACGGTAGGTGCTCCATAAATATTAGTGAAATGACTGTGGGTCCCTGCGTGGCCTGATGCGGGCTGCATGTGTGGACGGCCCACTCTGCCCACCAGGCCACCAGGCCAGGCTTCAGATGTCCCAAGATGAAGGTTAGATTACTGAAGACCATGTTTCTCCACACTGCCAAATTAAACTCCTGCCTCCAGCCCTTCGCATCCCTCATAGCCAGAACTGGCAGGGAGACGGCCTGGCCATCTGGGTTTAACAACCTCTCTAGATCCCATGCCCTTCCTGAATGCTCCCATTGTGGGGGACGTGGACTTGAGAAGCAGCAGCAGGAGCCTGCAGGGCATCCTGATCTGATGCGTGTGAGCACGGCTCCTTCAGCAGGGCCAAGCCTCTCCCAACCCGCTCCTCCTGGAGTCTTGTACCTGGAACCTGGTGTCTTGGGAAATATATTTGGCTGCTCAAGGAACAAACTCCCCACAGTGAGGCACAGGCAGGGTTCTGGCCCAGAGGGACCAGCTGCAGGCCCCTCTCCTGGAACTGGCCCCTCACTGGGCTGGGAGCTGAGGGTACAGGGCCAGAGCTCTGGGCACTCCTGCAGCCCCCACCACTCCCCCCCACCGGCGGGGAGGCCTGTGGTCCACTCTGGCTTTCCCTGACTCTTCAGCCTGGCCAGGGTTTCCATCAGGTGCCCTCCATCCTCTGCTTCAGGTGCGAGGCCTTGCTCAAGGTCTCAAGAGAGGCTGTGGCCAAACCAGCCCCTCTGCTGGCTTTTATCACAAAAGTCGTAAAGCTAGACACTGAACAGTCTCCCTCTTAAATCCTTCCCGTCATCTGGGCAGAGGCCAATAGTCCTCCTGGGCCACAGGCCCTACCCAGTTGGCCCATGTTGGCCTCCTGTCTCTCCCTTGAACACGCCACGCCCTCTCCCACCTCAGGGCCTTTGGGCCTGGCTGGCCACCTAATGCCCTTTCCCCACTTGCCCTCCAGGCCCCTGCCCTGGGCCCTCTGGCTAAGGCTGGGGTCCTATCTGTACTTGGCTCAGCATCCCCAAACATCTCACCCCAGGTGGCTCAGTGTCATTCTGCCCTACATTTGTCCCAGCTCCTGCAGCTGACCCCAGGACACAGAGCTCAGCAGTCTTCCAGACTGGACCCCCTGGCCAGGTCCCCTGCACTGCCCATGCCAAACTCCCTGACCCACCCAAATCTGAGACCCCTGGCCCTGGGTGCCAATCCTGGCTCTGCCTGTCTGGCATGGTTTTCTCACAACTGCACAGGCCCCCAATCAATCTCGAGGGACTACCAATGACACAGGGTCACAGGGTACCCCAGGTAGGCACTCCCCCTCATACCAATAAACAAATTAATATAGTTTACATGTCTTTCAACTGTCTTGTGGTAGCATAATTATCTGCATTGTTTTATGGGCATACTGAGAGTTAATTTGTTATCTATCAACATTTTAAAGCCATTTTTTTTAAAACCCTATTCCAGCCTTTTTTCATTTTAAAATTTACTCTGGAGCAAAAAAAGAGAAAGAGAGCATGTGCATGCATAAGTGTAATGGTGGAGGTCACTGTTTATAGCAGCACACTTTCTGAAACAAGCTAATCACCCATATGAACAGGGAATTGGTTAATAAATTATGATAGAGCCATACTGAAAGATTACTATTCTGCTCAAAAGCACAAAAAGTATAAGGGAATTCTTGATGTATTGATAAGGAACAGTCTCCACAATGTATGGGTTAATTTTAAAAATTAAGGTGCAGACAGGGTTTTCATTGTGTGGTCTCTGTGTAAGAAAAGAACAAACCCCATCTACACACATTTCCTGTACGTGCACTGAGCTGGTAGCCTAGAACAGACAGGTGACACTGGCTACCTCTAAGGAGAGGGCACTGGGTGCCTTTGACAGGGTGGGAGGGGCTTTTCACAATGAGGGGCTTTTACACGCTTTTGAATTTCGAACCACGAAATACTATGCCTGGTCAAAACCAAATTAAATTCCAACAGAAAAGCTGAAGGGCCCCAGGTGGGCCTGGGCAGCCTCCCTCAGCGCCACCCTGTGTGAGATCCTGGCAAATGCATGCAATTCCCCAGGGCAGGCAAGTTCCATCCAGGGAATAGTGCCAGCTGACCACCTCCTTGGAGCCCAGCCTGGCATTTGTGGTCAGAGGGGTGCTGAGAGAAGCTCACCTTCACGGTGACACCTTCCTCATGGTCTGTTGTGGGTTGAATTGTGTCATCCCAATTCATATGTTGAAGTCCCAACCCCCACTGTCTCAGAATGTGACCTTGTTTGGAAATAAGGTCTTTGCAGCTGTAATTCACTAAGCTGAGGCCATTCTGGAGCAGGGTGGGCCTCCAATCCAACGTGATGGGGTCCCTGTAAAATGGGGAAATTTGGACACAGACACGCACAGGCAGAATACCACCTGGGCAGGAAGGCTGAGATGGGAGTGATGCTTCTACAAGCCAAAGAGCACCAAGGATTGCCTGCAAAGCAGCGGAAGCCGGGAGAGAGGCCTGGAATGGGTTCTCGGTCAGAGCCCTCACAGGGACCTGGCCTTGTGGGCACTTGATCTCAGACATCCAGCCCCCAGAGCTTGAGAAAACAAATGTCTGTGGCTTCAGCCCCCCAGTTTGTGGTGGTGCTTTGTTACAGCAGCTGCAGGGAACCGACATGCATTGTCTCAAGGGAAATGGGCAGATCTATGACTCCTGCCTAGTGCTTGGTTTACAGCCACCTTAACCCGTGAGGGAGCTGGAAAGGTTCCGAGGCTGCCCCTGACCTCTGAGAGTGCCCACCCTGGCCCAGTACTTACTGTCATTGGTCATGTTCTTGGAGACTATATTGGACAGTGTCTCAGACATCTTGGCTGAGGCCCAAGAGGTTGATGCAAGGCTTCTCCTCTTCTAAAGGAGATCCTCACCTGGGGAGTGACACAGTGCTTAAGTCTGGTGGTCCCTAAGCCCAGAGCTCCCTTCCCCTGGGTGGCTGACAGCCACCGGCATTTGTTGAGGGCTCGCCGTATGGGGACACCTGCCTGCTCCCTGCCTCTCCCACCCGAGGGTCCACTTTTCTCTCCTGGACCTGGCTCTAGCTGCCTACTTTTTCTGTGCTTAGAACACATCAGTCTTGGCCTCGAGGGTTTGCATTTTCGGCCTCCTCAGCCAAAAAAATATTCTCCCATACCCAGATGGGGGTGGTGGGTTCCCCTCTCTTCAATTCCGAGCTCAAATGTCACCTCTTTAGAGAGACCTCTCACCATCCCATCCAAAGTGGTTTCTTCCTCCCCACCCCGGTGTGGCCTTTATTTTCTTCTGTGCAATTCCCACTATCTGATTATCACTTGAAAAATCTGTTCATTGTCTATTTCCCCCTAAAATGTGAGCTCCATGAGAACAGGGGGTCTTTTCTGCTCATCCAAGCTCCTGACATACCCTTGGCACGCCTTAACTTCATCCGTTGAATGAATTTTCATTTTTGCAGGGGAGGAAGCAGAGATTCAGCGAGGTGTCCAAAGTCACAGTCAGGAGGAGCTGCCTCTGGAAGGGGCCCAGGGCTCTAGGCTTGTGCCATTCCCGCCGCATTCCTGCTACATCCCCCTTTTGGGTGAGCCTGGGGTTCGCAGGGTCTCCTCCTAACACCTGCGCTCTGCCAGACCCCGGGCCACACAGCAAGGTGCACAGGGATGGTAGGACAGATGGGGTGGGTGGTAGGACAGATGGGGTGGATGGTAGATGGTTGTGTTTCAAGCAAGTGTCATGCGAGCAGAGGGCGGGGAGCCTTGCAAGGCGCCTTGCAAGGGGCGCGTGAGAGGTCCGCTCCCGGCCACGCGCGCCCCTCGGGCCCTGGTTTCGCACCTCTGCCGCCGCCCCACGCGCCCTCACGGACCCCGCGCGCCCTGCCTACCCCGGCCCCGCGCGCACCCACCGGCCCCAACTGCCCGGGCTCACTCCGAAGCCTCCGCGCTGCAGTTCTCAGCTCCAGGAGCAGGGCTCTTGGGTTTACGTCTCCAAGGCAACCATTCTTCAGGCTGGTTGTGACGCCACAAAGGCCGCGGAGGCTGGGCGCGTGAGGGCTGGGCCTGCGGGCCGCTGGACAGGCAGGGCGCGGGGCACAGCTGCCGGGTCCGAGCTCCCGGGACGATGTCCACCCTGACGCCGCCAGGACAGCGCCTGGCCCAAGCCCGGGGCCTGGTGAACGCGGGTTTCTTCCTCTGAGGTTCATTCATCACTCTGCACTTGGGCCGGCTCCTTTCTTTCAGCCTGATTGATTTATTCACCACGTGCCAAGTGCTGAAGAGGGCGCCCAGAATGGATGCTTTTGGAACAAAAATAGCCCTGGTTCTTTCCTGGGGAGGGATCGCACTTTCTCGAGGGGCATCAAAAAACTCGTTAGAAAAGCAACTTTTCAGTCCCACAGACTGGAGCCCAGCAATCTGTGTCCTGACAAGTCCACGCGATACCCCAGTGCTGGCTAGGGTTGGAAAGCCACTGCTCTACCGAGCGAGCTAGACCCATCATAGTGGGACAAGCAAGAGGATGAGGCCATGCAGACCAGGGCAAGTTTTGGGTGTCCAGATCCACCAGCTGCTTGCAGCCAGGGGCACCTGGGTGTCTGGTCCCCCGGCTCAGGGATCCTGCCTCCCCACAAAAAGCAGCAGCAGGAGACCCCTCTTTGAGTTCTGAACATATTCCTAGATTTTCCCAGTATCTATGGGGATTGAGAGATTGACAAAGGCTACTTGGAGCTGAGAGCACAGTCAGGGACTCATCTTTTTGGGGACATTTACGGGTTTCTGGAGGGACTCTGGAGCAGTCTGCAGCCCAGCAATGTAGTCCCAGTGAGGATCCCAGCTGTGCCAGGCTCTGCCTAAGGCCGGTGTAGTGGGTGGGAAGACCACATCCACAACAGGAACTCCACTGGAGCTAGGGGTGGGAGTGAGGGGGAGCTAGCAAGATGGAAGGAGCAGGGATCCCTGAATCTTTGCTGGTAGAATAGTGTCCCAACTTGCAGTATCCACAGTGGGCGTTGCACAAGGGAGGAAGAACGTGGTATTGTGTTAAGCCACATAAGTGATTTGTGCATGTGCACATATGTGCACGTGTAGTGTGTGTGTGTGCATGTGTGCACGTGTGTGTTACAGCTGCTAGTGTCAAATATGCTGAAAGACAAGTAGTCCCTTTACCCTTAGGAGAGAGGCTCTTCACACTGACATTCAAAGACCTCAATGACCCGGCCCCAGCCTAGCTCTGCAGCCTTATCTCCCTACAAACCATCAAAGCAGAACAAAAAGCTGTGCCTCCGATTTAGGTTTCAGCAGACCACAAGAAGCACTTCATGAACTGGTGACTCAAGTAGAAAAGCAAGTGTTTTTGAAATGGTTTATCTAAACACAAGGTGTTCTAATGAGGCTTTTAGGAAGCTAGAACATAAGTGACCCAAAGAGAACAAAGGTACCCAGGCTCCTGCCCATTCATTGTTCTCAACAGATCCGTTTATGAACTGTCGTGAATCTCCCCATGAACCCTACAGAGTGTTTTCTATGTGCCAGTTGCTGGTCCACGCGCTTGACACCAATCCACCCATTTCACCCATATGATCACCCTACCTTTGCATGAGTTGCCGTGTGGACAGAGCAGGGACACAATGAGGCAGTGGATTGCAGCTCTGCTCTTACCTAGAACACACTGCCTCTCGCCAGGAATCGTCCTACCATTTTATGCAGTTATCCCAGACAGTGATGCACAAGCTTTGGGGAAAAAAACCCCCCACAAGTCCAAAGGTGTATTTCATAATAAAGGCAAGTTCTCTAGTCAGTTTGTGTGTTCTGGCCTTTGTTTTTGCTCTTGGTAGCTTACAAGGTTAGAAAGAAAACCACCTAGAAAACGTGACCTGATTTGGAACTTTTAGTCTTAGCCTAACAGATCTAACTAAAAATACCATTTGCTGATTGAAAGCTAATTTTTAAAATCAGGTGGGTGATTGGTGGAGCGATGGCGGCTGGCTGGCTGTGTGGTGAATTATAGTGGCCTGTGAGCCGGCCAGCCCAGGCAGCGGGCATGTGGGTGTCTGCTTCAAAAGTCTTCCAACATTTCTGTATGTTTGAAGCTTGAAAATGTTCATAATCGAACACTTTGGGAAAGCTAACAGTCTTCTTAAAGGAGAAATTTGTATTTCTGATTTCGTATTTTCCTCCTCAAACAAGGTATATCAGTCTGGGCCCTTGGGAATAAACAACAGAAAGCAACTATAGCCAGTTAAAGGAGAAAAGGACATGGGGGTGCCCCCAGACTCTGTAGGACAACAGGGAATCAGGCTGGGAGATGTTGTAGCCTGGAGCGGAGCCCAAAGCCATGGCAGGCGCATTCCGGCAGAGACCATGCTGTGATCTGAAGTCGGCTTTGTACTCCTGAATGGCAGGCAGCACCTGGATCACCTGCTTGCACCTTGGGCCTTCCACACAAGATCTCTGGCTTCTGTCGTGGGAGGAGGGACTCAGAAACCAGGGGGATCAAGGGTTGTCCTGTACCCAGACAGGGTATTCAGAGGTCTACCAGAATGACAAAGCCTGAGAGAGCAGCTCGTGTTTCTTTTCTGCAGCACCTGGTCTCACTGTTGTTCCAGCACAGCAGGCCAGGGAGAATTGGAGGGTCACCTTCAAGGTAAAATGCCTTAAATGCCCAGATCTCTCACTTGTGGGTTTTCCTTTTGCTGAGAGGTGGTAGGATATGGAGAATGACAGCCATGTCTACCGTGCTTCATGGTGAGTCAAGGGCTTTCCACGGGGAGGACAGTGATATGAGCTCTTTGCACTACTTACACTGCCCTAGGATCCCCTGCATGGGTTGTGACCGGCAGGACTTTGTCTACTGTGTTTCAGGGGAAAGCTGCAAAGTCCTTAAAGAGTGTCTGAAGCCCCATCCCCCCTCCCTCTCTGGGCATGTGTCCCCACCCAGTGCCAGGTGCTCTAGCTTGGCATGCTTTTTATATTTTGTGAGCAATCACATTAATCAGATTGCTTTCCTGCCAGCTCAGATGGACAGATAATGTGATTGGAGTCTGGAAAAAAACAGGGATGACTTTTGGCATCCACATCCCAGGCATATCACATTTGACCACAGTGTCAGAGAAACAGTGCAAGTGGAATAAAAAAAAAAAAAAAGGTCTTGGAGCCCAGAGTAAGACTAGGCTCATATGTGGTCACAAGAGACCACATATCCTATGGAGGCGCCTAGATGGAATTGGGGAAACAGGCAAATGGGCAGTGGTGGCTAATGGAGATGGGATTTTGCTCTTAGGGTGATGAAAATGTTCTAAAGTTAGACTATGATGTACATTAGATTTACTCTGAATATAGTAAATGCACTTTAAATTGGTGAAGTTTAGACATGTAAATTATATCTCAATAAATATGTTCAAAAGGAGAAGAAGAAAGGGGTCCACATTGGCCAGTGCTCTTGAGTGGCCAAGCGAGAGGGACTGAAGAGTGTTCATTGGATTTGACAACAAATCGGTTGACCTTGGTGTGAGCAGTTTCGGTATCTTCTGGGGGACTGAGATGGATGGGTGATGAGGAAGAGGAGAAAGTGCCCTGGACAGCACTTTCGAGGGTCCTGGCAGTGGCTCCATCTTGCTCTCTTATGGGTGTGCAGACCCACAGTGGGACTGGGGAAATGACCCTGGTCTTCCCCGCAGCTCTGGTGGAGGCTAGGTCATTAAAGCCAGACCCCCAGTTCAGAGGGCAGGATGCTGGGGCATGCAGCATGGGGGGTGAGAAAGGTGCATGGCACTGGCCTGGGTCCCAGATGTGCTCCTGGGCATGGTCTCCACAGGCGGTGGGGGAGGGGGGTGCAGGTCCCCGGTGGTTAGGGGACTGTGGTCAACCGGGAAGAGGGGCTGAGACTAGACCAGGTTGTGGGCATAGAGGAAATGAAAGAGACACACACACAGAGGGAGAGGGTGTATGGAGGCAGAAGGCAAGCTGGAGGGACCATGGTGCTGAGGAGGCTGGGATGGGATCCAGACACAGGAGGAAGGGCAGGAGATGTGAGCATTAGGTGTGCTCCCCAGGAGGGTGTGATTTAGCCCAGGAGCCCAGGGAAGGTCATCTTTACACTAGTTTCAGACATCATTTAGGTTGTATTTTGCTTCAAGAAACAGAAAGCTTCAGCAGAAATGACTTACAAGGACATTTCTCATGAAAAGCTCCTCAGTACACCTCTCCTCATATCTTAGCCAAAAAACTGCATGTCTAAACCAATCGCTGCCAGGGGTGGAAGCTGGGGACTCTGTGGGAGGCCCCATCCCGGGGCCATAGGGCGGGTGCCTGGACGGTATCCGTTGTGTTAGGAAGGGGATGGGGTGATCTGAATGGATTCTGGCTTGGTCAGAGCACCCACTCCATGACATCCCCACCCAGGTGTCTGCAAGCCCTGAGGCAGGCAGCTCGCTCTGGGTTCCCCCCTCATCTAGCCCAGGAGCGCCGCTCTTCCGCGGATGCCTGGGGAAACCCCATATGTGCACATACACCGAAAACTATATCTGCGAGGCGGGATTATGGCTGATTATTTTTTTCCTATTGCTCGCTCTCATTTTTCTTTACGATGAAGTTGTAGACATGTATTACTTCTATAATAACAAAACAGTGAAAAGTAGAAGAAATCGCTGGGGGCACCGTGACTCCCGGGTGATGCCCACGCTCTGTCGCGCTGCTGACGAGGACTTTCGGGTCTGGCCTCTCCTCCCGGGGCTCTTCGGTGCCCTCCGCCTGGAGCCCACTTAGTTTCCAGGACTTTCCCTTTGCCAAGCCCCTGCTAAGGGCCTCGACCTTGTCCTCCTCCCATCTCTTCCCCAGTTAGTCTTTCCATCTCAGCCCCAACCCCACCACCCCTGCGCCCAAGTGTGGGCTGATATGTCCTCTTTGTGCCCCCAGAGCCATGGTCACTTCACGAGGACCTCTGCTGATGTCTCCTCTGCTATCTTGGAGGTCCCAGACGGCAGCCTCCTGAGTAGCTGGGACTATAGGCGCCCGCCACCGCGTCCAGTTAATTTTTGTATTTTTAATAGAGACTGGGTTTAACCATATTGGCCAAGCTGGTCTTGTCCTGTGACACTCTGACCGCAACCCGGAGCACCCGGAAGGTGTTCATTAGATAGTTTGTTAAATGAGTCAATGGACAGTGGATGGGGAATGGAGTGGAGAGTGGACGGGAGGATAAGTTGTTTCCATGAAAGGATGAAATTCCTGTGGAGGGAGTGGACAGTGCATATCTGTCTGAGCCACGCGCAGATGAGTGCGTGGGTGGACCAGGCGCGGACTGCGGGGAGCCTGTGGGTGGGCGGGGCGAGGACGGCAGGACGCGGTGGGTGGGTGGAC